ATGTTTATTTTTAATGTCTAAATGGAATTCATGTTCACTTTTAAATATCAGTAATATGAAATTCAAGAAAGATAAATGTTAAACATTATATCTGAAAAGAAAATGTCAGAGGCATGAATATAATATTCCGCCTAAGCAGAGTATTATAGAACAATGTCTATGGAGGTCTGTTGAATGACACTTTGTGGGCATTAATTATATTACCAGGATATACAAACAGTGTATCTTCTTTAATTGAACTCTAGAAGGGGGTTTTCTTCACAAGGAATTACTAAGGCTGCTTGACATTTTCTACTTTGTCAGTGACTTCAAAGATGTAAAGACAATTCAAAAGAAAATTATACCAGTGAAGAGCTTTTAGCAAATGTAATGGGCAAAGAAAGTCAAAAGGAATTTGGTTTGCTGAGATCTGCTGGAGTAGCATGTTTCCAGAATAAATTGACTTCAGAAAGAGAACACCAATCAACTTTTCCCTATGATCTTCTAGGCAAAAAAGAAAAAGCAGAACTTAAGAACTTGCATATCCACAGGTGTTGACATTTAGATGCTGGGAAAATAGATCTTATGAGTACAGAAACATTTTGAAATTCTTGTTAGATATTAACTGGACAATTGTCATCATCTGTCATGGTTATAATATTTTTTATTCAAATTTGAAGTCAGCTTTTGTTGTGCAGTTGATTTGTATACTGCATGGCTGCCTCTTGGTTAATTCCTTTGTCTCAGGTGCCTTTCCACCAAGGAAAAGTGTGCAAGGGACACACCACAGCATATGGAACTCATGCCATGTATGTGCAGTGTGTTCTGCTTAAGAAAATATAATCTAAGCTTCAGATCATCAACTATTTTGTTAACTTCATCAGCCCATACCTACAAAACTAATATTAAAAGAAGAAAAAAGTTAGCTGGAAAGGCTTCTTTACAGCTATCGAAGTATGAGAGTAGAGATAAAACAACAAGATTCTTTGGAAACATGAATGTCAGTGCCAAAAGAAATGTATTTTAAAAATCTTAGTAGACAAAGTGAATTTAGTCTGCATGTGTTGTTTAGAAAGCTTTTATTTCTTCATACAAATGATACTTGGTTTTATGTTTTTGCTTTGTTGTGAAATTTACATGGCTAAAATCCAAAATGGATAGATTACTTTTAATAGTTTCCATCGTCTATAACTGTCATTAGTTCACTTTTTTGCCACATTTTTCTTGATTGAAAAATGTTTTACAAACCAAATCACTGGGATAGCCTTGCTGCAAAGTAATTTCTCTTGTGTGATGATATAGTTATGAACTTGTTAAGAAGAACATGTATTTAATTACTCCAAGTCAAGCAAGTTCATTATATGAACTCTCAAGTCACAAATTGAACTTTAACAGTATATCCCCTATGTAAAACTAGAAGCCTGACTGGCTTCACCAAATTTTCTTTAGTGGCCTTGATTAACATTTGCATATATTTTTAATATTAAAAATGTATTTTTTCTGTACTGAGTGGAGCATGGGATTGATTTTTGGCAGCTGGAATTGAAATACATTTTAAAATAATATATGCTTAAAATTTATGATTTGGAAAATAAACATATTTGTTTAGGATTGTTCCTTTTGTTAGAGGAAAGTTAAATATCCCTGTGAATATATTTTCTCTGTTCTGCCTAAGTGCCAGATGCTTATTTTAAGTACTTGCATTTAAAAAACCTAAAATTAAAAATAGCTGAATTTCCACTAAGTGCTCCAATGTGGAGCTAAATAGAAGGCAATTATCTAGCTCAAAACCTGACCCTATTCATATTTCCTCATGTTTGTTTTTCAGCTGAATGGGAGAAATGTGAGTACTGTGTTCATGATACTGTTTTAGTACTGTAATTTTGGGATCTACTAATGTGGTAAAACATGGAATCAGCCCCCAGATTTCTGAAGCTGAGGGAGGCTGCACTGAACCTGGGTTGCATATGAGGAAACCAGGGGACATGATGAAGCAATCTGTTTGTCTTCATGCACTGTATGAGATGGCTTTTTTATCTGAACTCAAAATCATGTACCCATGTTTTTGAATGGAGAATGTGTACATGTAATTAGGGGGGGAAATATGATTAAATATTGGGTATTTTTCTTATTTAACTGAACTGTTTTAAGTAATTCAGGTTTGGGTTTTTCTAAGTGAATCAAAGTAAAAGTATTCCTGTGCTCTTTTCATACAGTGTCATTCAAATGATAGAGAGTTAAAAGCCTTATTGGATACAGGCAATGGAACAGTGATAGGCGTGTACTTTAATCTAAATGTCTTGTCCGTCTGTATACCTCAGAAAATCTGCTTAGTGGTTTCCTATTTTTACTTTGTGGGCTCCTTAGTAATTATCTATGATTGCATCAGGTAAACAGTGCCTCTGAAAATATGATAAATGTTCATTTGATCAGTCTTTGCAGACAAATGCATTGGAAAGGCCAGGTCACGTGTAGAGATCTCTGTAAAAGAAGGACACAGACTTGTAAGGCAGAATACTCTTCCTGAATTCGTGCTCTCCTTAGTTTGGAGCAGGTCTTTGAATCAAGCTTTTCCCAGCTCAGCAAATGTACAATGCTGGTAAATATTTAGTAACCTAATCTTGAAATAATTGTTTAAATAAGTGTGTTTTTACCAGAACAAGAATCTGAACCCTAGCTCTCACCTGCCATGTACTGAAGTTACTGAACTATAATGAATAGCATGCTTGACTTATTCAGTGATTATTTATTCTAAGAGGAAAGGACAAACATGACAGGAGATAAAGTCTTCCTATTCCTTGCAATACTGGACTGGGAGGAAATTCCTGTATCAGCTTGAATGCTCAATGACCAGTGAAGTAGGTGAGGAAGAGAAGAAGGTGGTTAACTGGCTGAGCAGCCAAGCTATGGAGCTGTACAACAGCAATTTGAGGTGTGTTCAGGTTTGTCTCACAGGCACTGTGCTGACTCTGGAGACTGCTCTCCTTAGAGGAAGTCTGTGCATTACTACTAAAGTTAACAAATCTGAGAAGTGAAACCAAGTCACTGACTCCTGTTACTCTCTTAGGTAAATGAAATGGCCTTTTGGATTATGTAGTGAATGCCATAAACCTAAAATACTGCCAAGAGCTCAGCTGTATTTCTAAACTAGGTATAGCTAATTTTGTAGATTTTTCTCTGGGGTAACTTTTTGCTTTTCTTTACTAAGAAGAGACTGTATTGAAAATCTGAATGGAAAGGCACGTGTCTTTTTTCCCCCCATGAGCAGCTGAAATGTTTCTAAGCTAACTAGTGAAGTGTTGTAATACAATTGCCTTTCATGAAAGCAGTTATTTTTGCATTCATTCATTGATTTCTGATCTCCACTGTAAAATGTATTAATGACAGTGTTTAGTGCTGCTGGCTACTTGTGACCTGTTTTCTCATATTTTCTTTTCCAGGAGGAGACTGCATGTCTTTAATAGAGAGCTTTGTTTCTGACTCTGCTGGTATTTTAACTACTGCTTGTAGTCTGTTGCAGCATCAGGGCTAAGTTCCCATTACTGGTCATCATCAAATGATGGAATGATGAAAGCGCTGAGTCTAAAAATATTCTATACTTTATACAATAACAAAAAACTTCAAGCAGCAGCTACTGTGGATCAGCAAGGCTACCCAGAAGATCATTTGGGTAAGCACCAAGTCTGTACTATCACTTCAGAAAATCCAGCTGGGACATGTTTGAGTACATGTAGAATATGCAATTAAGCATCCTTTCAGTCATGCATCCAATATAAATTTTGATCCATGGGAGGACTTGGAGGATACCCATCCATCTCTGGGATTTTGCCCAGAATATTACCTGTGAAATCTAAATCTAGTCCTACTGCCTGTGTTATGTTAATGTGGACAAACAGGTTGCATAACATTTTGTTCAGATAGTGTTATTAGGGCAAAATTAAAATTGCATGTGCAGAGAAGTGACCTTGAACATGTTGAAATTTATTTCTTTTTTTGATTAACATATTGCCCTGGTCCAATATTTATTTATTTCTCACTTTTCACCAGAAAAGCAATGAGAAGCCCAGAACTGTTCCAGTTGAAATGTTTGTTTAATCCACAAGATGCCTGCCTTGGAACATCTGTCACCATGATCTATTTTCCAATTGCCTCTTGTGGATAGCCACATAATACATCCTCCTGTTTTAAAAATGACTGTCCTCAAAAGGGGTGAATCAGTATGACTTGTGTGTTTCAAAAGCATTACATGGGAAATATAATTTTCTATCATGATGGTGATGTCAATGAACATCTTGAAGGGTTTTTTTTTGAGTTCTTTGACCAAATCCTATAAAAACCCATAATTTTTCATGACCCATAGTCAATGGATCGTGAGACTTTTGTCTGAACTCTACAGTTTGACATACAAATGAGATGATGCATCCATAGTAACTAACTAACTAACCATGCATGCAGTCTTAGCTTAGGATATTTAAGTTATCTAATCAACTTAAGCTGACTCAGGATGAAGGAGGTTTACAAGTCCAATACTTTGTAAGTGGAAAATAATAACTTCATAATAAAATGTACACAATAAAGAAAGAAAAATTAAAAATTAAAATTAAAAAACCCCTGGACATTTCTGGTAACCAAAGAGCTCAGGGAAAGTGAAACTGTGTAGTGGGACTTATTTAAATGTTTCTCCATGTGGAAGTATAAGGAATTGTCTCTAATCTTTTCACATTGAAAGACATAGTAGGCTGGGAACAGATTTTAATCTTGCAGTACAGTTGTGAAGTTAGTCTGTTGCTTTAATCTTGTTAGATAAAGTACTGCCAGGGCTGCATAAATGAAACAGTTTAGCCACAGAACATCTCCTGAGTGTTGGATTGATAGCTGATTACAGGTTTGAAGTTACTAAAAGGGAGGAATAGAAAGTGTCACTGAACACTCATTTATAGCACATTTATCATATTCCTGAGTTTTCTTCAGCATTTCTTGAATAATTGTTAATATCCTTCAACCCCACAAAATCTTGTTACCTCATTATTAAGCCTGCTGATCTGCTGTTTGGTCTCTTCTGCTTTGATAACGAGCACAGCAGCACCAATTTCAGCCTCTGAAAATAATTCAAATTCATGTAAATGACAAGAGTGTAATCACTTAGAAATTATCATTCTGCTCTTGCACTTTACCAATCCTTTAAATTTAAACCTGTTTTGCAGTTGGCTAGAATGAAAATTAAACCATGCATTTAAAATGTTCATTTCATAATGTTTGAGAGAAGTACAATTATCGCTTTCTTCACTCTTGACCTGAAAGAAATGAAGATGACAACATTGGTACCATCCACATGACAGCTTGACACTTTTTAAAAATCATAAATGTGAATAAATTTAATTATTATTTTCCTGCTTGGCTTTAAGAGAAACAATATATGTCCTAGTTGCCTCCATGATGAAGGTACTTAGCTATGTGGGAACTGTTTACTTCTAAAAGAGGGGATGTTGGAAACAGTCCTTCTGTCTCTTTTTTAAATCTTTTTTCGCCCATCTTGACAAGTTCCATTGCTTTGTGCTGCTACTTCACCAAGCTTTTCAGAGTATAGGTGATGTAAGGCTCCCTAAAACCCTTGTTATTCAAGGCTTTCACTCTTTTAAAAATCTATATAGTTCCCTCCACTTCTCTAAATGTCTTTAAAAATGTTAAGAGCCAGGTTTACATATGGCTCTTAATTAATTGGCTGGGGTTTTTTGTTTGGTTGGTTTTTGTTTTGTTTTGTTTTCTTCTTATTTATGGCTTGTATTTTTTTCAGTTTGGTATTGGAATGTTTTTATGTTCGATTTTGTCCTTGTGTTTAGCACCTTCCATGACCAAAGGTTTGGGAGCATGAGGCAGATTGTGCAATTCTTCTGGTAAAGCATGAAGCATGAAAGAACAGTTCCCACCACAAACTGTTTTATCATGACTGTCTGTTAGCAGGAAAACAACAAATGACCTTTGGGACCTTGTAGTTTTTTTTACAATTGTGGCACTGAAGTGGTATTGAGGGTACAAATATATGTTTAATCCATTTATGCCACTAGTGAGGATGAAAGAAATAAAGGGGTTATGAAAAAAAAGCAGTTATGAAAACTGTTTTCTCTAAAGAGTGATTTTTCCCAGGCAATGCTCACCTCCTGTTGTAGGAGATAACCTGGATTCCTGCCTGAGCTGATCAGAGCTGAAGTCAAAGGTTTGGCTTTCTTCATTATGGTTTCCATCCTCAATCCCATCGACAATTCTGTTGAGAAAAATTGGAGTAATGGAGCAATTTCATAAACATCATGTTCATAATTATGTTGTAAAAATTACTCCTAAAGGGCACATTTTTAAACAGTGGTAAATTTTCCACAACATCAAGTTTAGAGAAAAGCAGAACCTATTATATTGGCATAACTTCTTGTGAGTCACTAAAAATGAAAATTACTGATAATGGAAGGCATGTGAGGCCAAGTATAATTAATTGAGTTTTCAAAATTTTCATGACTTTCACAGCATATTCTGGGTCTAATCCAAAACTACATGGACTATATTTCGGTTTTCATATCTACACTAATCTGTTGTTGTTCTTTCTTCTGCACAACCTAAAGAGGCTTCACTATGCTCCGGTGAAGCTAAAATCTCCCTGCACATAATCAGGCTCTTGTATTAGGTTTACTTAGGCAGAGCCCAAGCCTGAACATAATACAGTTATGAAAACATCTCTGTAAACTTCAGTCAAAAGTGTCATTTCCATGCAAATAATTATTCTAAGTTTCTTTAAAATGAACTAGCTCAGGCAGGGAAATCTTGTTTGCAAATTTCATATAGGAAGATGTGCAGACCAGTCTCCAGTGTCCCAATTACATTAATAATGGTATTGGATCTGACTATTAGAAAAGGTACTTTTGCAAGTTATTTCTACCCATACATAGCAGTTATCTCTAATATGCAGCGTCAAGAAAGCCAAAGGGAAAAAAAAAAAAAAAAAAAGAAGCAGTATTTTATACAATAATCAATTTCTTCATTCAAAGAACAGAAAACATGTATTGGAGGAATCAATACACAGTATTAAAAAATATATATAATCATGAATATTTTCTGTTCTCAGCTAAAATAAATTGTGCTATAAAGAGAACTATATTAAAGTCAGTGAAAGAGAATCATACAACTGCCAATTGACTGATATGAAGCATCAATTTCTTTTTTTTGTTTTGTCCAGGAACAAGCTTCATATTCTGTCTTACAGCAGACAGATGAATTAAATACTAATCTGGAAGGGCTAAGATAGAAAATTCTTAGCCTCTCAGTCATTGGGGATAAATTCCTGATGGTGAACATTAGACTTTTCTTCTAATAAAGATATTTTCAGGAAAGCTTATTGTCTGCAAATTCCTGGAGTAAGAACAGACAACTCAGAGAAATCTGTGATGTATTGGGCTTGAAAAACCCATGTAACTCAAACCTCTGTATGCATACCATGTATTCTTGACCTTTTTGGCTCTTCCTGTGGGTTTAGATCTCCATGTCACGTCTCAGTGTTCATGATGCTAGTTGGATGTTACAGGACTTGACTCTAATCTTAATCAGACTCTGGTAGAAGAGGAGACTCAAATGTGATGCTCGAGAAGCCCTGGCTTATAATGCTATTTGCAGCTAAATACCAGAATGATTACTTTGTTTGAAATTTGCTATAAAACCTGTTTAATGTCATTTGGCCTCACTGCTTCAAAAGGCAAGTTTTAAACACCAATATCACTTTTGTAGAGGTTTCTCATTGTATAAAATGCTAACATTTTAACTGCCTTTAAAGCACACAGGAGAAAGCTTACTCAGATGTGACTTGGAATTTATAGATACTACATTCTTTATAGTGTTTAAATATTCAGATTAAAGGGAAATTATATTAGCACAAATACCTAGTTAGGAGTGCCAGGCTTCTATGTGGAAAATACGTAATGTACAATATGCTTATTCATATACAATGATCTGTCTGGGGAACTACATAACCTAGTAAATTGAAAATATCAGGGAACAAAGGTAATTGGTAAACCTCACCCCTCTCTGAACCAGCTATTGTACATCCCTGAATTTTCTCCTGAAGACAGAAAATGCCACTCTTAGAAGCCAAAAAAGTCAGAAAATATTAACATGTGACCTCTTCTATCCAGTTGCTTAGGGCTAGAGTGCACTCCTCCATGTGGGTCTAAGGAGATTCAATTACATAAAACCTCCTCCTAGAGCTGCCTTTATTATCACCTACATTTTCTTCCTTTTTGATGCTCTTCCACTTCACAGGCAGAAGCCAAAAAGCAATTGGGAAGACTGGGGCTCTATTCTAGAAACTACAATTCTAGCTTCTGTTCCTTGCACCAAGAGATTTTTAAAAATTTGACCCAATCTCTGGCCTTTATTGCTTGCACTGTGGGGCACAAAGAAAGAACCTGAAGCACCTAAGAAAAGGTGCTAAAGAATTCTAATTAGTGTCCTCTAGAAAATATCCACAGCAGAAGTTTCTTAAGAAACTGTGGTTATACCCCTCAGAACAGCACTGACTGGATATTTCAACCACAGTCTTGTCTCCCTTGCCTTCTCCTGCCAACACAAAATGTAAATGACAATTTTAATTAAGGTCTTATTTTCTCCTTAATGCTTACAAGCACACACTTAATACTATTTTTTAGAGTGGTATTAACTTGTCAGTTTAAATATTCTAATAATATAAATTCCTTCTAGGAGATAACATGAAAATGTTTTGTCTGGAAAAAAAAAAAGGCTGAAAAACATACATCTTGGGTCAGTTTTCCAGCCTATTAACAGAATTAGTCTACAGTTATAAAATCATGAATGGAAACAGGAAATGATATATGTAAACATACTTTTTTCATGTTTCCTTTTGCAGCCTTGGGCGCCAGTGTCTGGCTGCATAAGTTCAGAGCAATAAGCAGGACTACATTTCAGCAGAAAATATAAAAAGCAGTTTTTCCCTGAATTACCACCTATTAAATAATGAATGATAATGACCTTTACTCATAGCTGACTGAACCAAATTCATATGAGATCTAGAAAACAAATGAGAAAATATCACAAAGTGCTATGGTTTTGTTGGCATAGTGGTTTCACCAAAGGTTGAACTCGATCTTGGAGGTATTTTCCAACCTAAATGATTCTGTGATTACTGATGAAAAATGATGATTTTATGAAAAACTAAAGCTGTTTTGTATCCTGGTACTATTTGATATGTGTCTGTACTAATAAAATATATGATGAGGGGGAAAGGGTTCTTTCTAGTCTTCCATGTCCTTTTTATGATTGCATGTGTAGGGACTGGTGCTTTGACAGAGTTAAACAAAAGTTGTTCAAGCTGTGGCAATTCCACATTTCCAATGGCAAGTTCCTGAACACTCTGCCACTAATGAATAAAAGAAGTGCTTGGACATGTAAACAACTTCAATCTATAGAAGACAAAACTTGAAATGGAAGATGAACTACTGCATCTCCTTGTATGTATGCTTGAGATTTCTCTAAAGAACTGGTCCTAAGACTAGGATTGCACTGCAGCAATTTAGGAACAGGTTACATAAATCACTTGTAAGTAGTGTAAAAATAAATAATTAAATATTTTAAATTTTACACTAGTAATACCTCAATAAACTGTTATATGATGCTTCTTTGTATCAAAAGACAGAGCAAAACAGATTTGCTGAACTCTGTGTTTGATGTCTGTATAACTTCCGCCATCAGATTTCCTGTCTCTAATGAAAAAAATCCTTTAAATATTTTTCAAAATTGCTTGGAAATTGTTTTCCATTATAGTTCTCTACTCCAGTAATTTTTTGTGTTTTCATGCTACAATTTTGTTGACTTGCTTTCTAAATTTTTATACTACTGATGGACTCAGAATGCTTCAGAGTATTATTATGGGAATGAATATTTTAGACAAAATAATACCATAAGGCCAAACTATTTAAATAACCATTTTTGCAGTTGCTCACTTTTTTTACTGCCTTTTTTATGGGTAAAAATTCTTTAGTTTGCAATAAAGTTCTAAAGTCATAACATTCTGCATAGTGTGCAATGGTTCCTACAATAACGTGGGATGAACGGAAGTATAAACTATTAAAGAATAACTCTTATGGTGCCAAAATCATGATATTTTTAATAGGAGTCAAATTACAGACAGGAAAATGAGCACTCATAACTATTACCTTGGGCTCATATCTGGTGGGCCACTGGTGGTCAGTGCTGACAGGTACAATTTAAGGTTTTTCTCCTTCCTTCTGGAGTAGTAATGGAGCTCTGTTTCATGTTTGGCTCTTGAGGGGTTTGAACTGCAAGCACGGATGGGGGAATGAAAGGGCACAGTTCCTGAGGCCAGCTGCTTCAAGTTTCTCCCTAGGTGGCTTTTGTTGCTTGCAGACTTCTTCTGCTGAGAGCTGTTTGTGCTTCGTGTATCAATTGGTGAAAGGGTGCTACTTTCTTCTTCTCCCTCCTCTTCCTCATCTTCATCTTCCACAATGGAAGGGAGTCTCTTCTTTATATTTCCATTTCCCTTGAGCTCTGTCTAAAATAACAAGCAATACATACTAGTGTAAAATTCAGAGCCTGATGTTGCAGAAACCCATTTTTTCTGCTGTTCATTCTGGAACATACCCAGACCAAACACAGCTTTCATTTCTCATTAGAGACAGCTCTTTCGGAACTTATCCATAGCTTCAGCTATGGCTATATGTGCAGATACAAGAAAAATACAAACAAATTAAAAAAGGTTGCTCGTGACACGGTCAGCAAACACACTGCAATATGTTTTGTTACCAAGAAAGAGTACACGACTAGTTCTTGCAAGCCATTTGCCATATGTACACTTGAGAAGATTAAGTTTGTTTAGCTGAGGCATTATTTCTTGAATGTTATGCTACCAGGATCTAGTGATCCACAGGAAAGATCTGAGGCTGGTAATTCAAATAATACCACTTTTTCACATGGAACCTTTTATAATGTATAAATGACATTTACACCACTTCAGCTCACACCCAATGGTCACTGTGTCCTTCTAAATTTTTGTTACTGAAGTTATTGCTGGGATGGTAGACAGACTTTTCAGTTCACTCCAAGTCCTGTTAATGAACCAACAATGTGATGGGTTTGGCTTCAGAACTGAGTCATCCGAAAGTGAAGCTATGTCTGGTTTTGAAAAAAATGCAGTTTAGATGTTTGATGTTGGAACCTTGGAAATTTAGAGACAACACAGACCTGGGTTCTACAATTTATGTACTAATTAAAGCGCAGTGTAGGAGATCAGCGTTATTTTGTCATAGTAACAAAGTATGCTGATCGTGAGTGCCGACACGTGCCAACATAGACAGGATCAGACCTTAACTCAGAAACAGTTCCATTTGTTCCCATGGTACAACTTTCTGTATTGGTAGTAGGTGAATGGCCTAAGGCAGACTTAGGTTCCAGGTCAAATTAACAAACCAAATGCAACTTCATGGTTTCAAAGGGAGTTGTTTTTAATTAATTTTTTTTTTTACAGGCTATCCTCTTAATCAGTCTTGATTAAGGCACTGTTAGCTTTAGGTAGAAAACCTCAGATGACCCTACATAGTCAGATATCCCACATTCAGGCCAAGTCAGATTGGCTGGGTGGAAATACAGATTTGGGGAATGTATCCAAATATTCTAAGCTCCTATTAGCATCTGTCTAAATGTTCTGCAGCATAGGTTTAATTTTGTTACAACACACTTTCATCAAATGTATGCTTTTCTCTTGGTATGTGTTGACAGATTTAGTGAACTGGTATCTTTTAATTTGAGGTATATATGAAGAGGTAAGAATTCCAAGTTGTGACAGAAGGCATGTCTTTATAAAATAGAAAAGCCTTGTTGTCTGTCAACTGTAGTAGTCATTCAAAGGCTGTCATGATGATTAAATTGTTAAAATGTGATCAACATACCTGGGATAGTGTAGGCTTGTTGGATAATTTTGATATTACCTGCAAAAAACAAACCAAAGAGGTAGGAAGTATGTACATCTGCACAGTTTGGATTCCAATGGGATACAAACATCTAAACCAAAACATTTATGTCAATAAAAGACAAGACACTCATGATAAAATGGCTGTATTAAATTAAATGGTGACATAACACTGAACTAAGGATAATCTTTGCAGATAGGTGCTGTGAGAGTAAAAAAAATAGTTGTTTCATCTTAAATAAAAAGCAAGTTAATGAAAAAAATAATATTTTACTTTAGTAAAAAAGCAGATCAGGATTCCAAACCTGTGAATAAATAAAGATGTATGAAAGCATGCCTGGTAGATTTCAATGCTTTCAGGTAGAGGGTTTGATGGAAATGCAGGAACAAGTGCTCTACTTTGGCCCTGCTTAGCTTTAGCTCCTGTGCCAGCCTAGTTTGTATGTGAAGATGAACTAAGTATTTCCAGCATCTTTGAGGAATTTTCAAAAGCAGTGGTGGGACTGAAGCAAGTAGGAGCAAGATAGTCCTGAGGGAGAGTTGTCTAACCTATTCAAAGCACTAATATTTTCTTCTCTTGAATTACACAGAAAGTAAAACAAATGAAAAGGAAAAAGAAAAAAAAAATATGCAGCTTTCAAGAGTAGCTACTTCTAATAAAATCCACTGGAACTGCTGAGTAATATGTATTGTGAAAATTCTGCTATTTATTTGAATGTCCACATCTTGACCATAGGCAAGTCTCTGGCAGCTTATGTACTGTACATATATTAATATTTTAGCCTGCCAGGTAAAATTTTGAGAGATTATTTTCAGCTTTCCTAAAGCCACATATCAAGGCAAAAAATGCTTAACCCACCAGTCAATTAATTTTTCTGCAAACATAGGTAGAAGTTAGGCATTTCTGAAAATTATTTGAACTTCTCTGTTTGTTTGACAAATGTCTTCAGAACTCCTACATATTCAAATTTTAGGCACAGACTTGAAAATAATAATCTGTGTGTTGTTTTATAATTTTTTATTTTGTTCCAAGTTTTTCAGGTTAACCTAAGAGCTGATTTGTAGTGAGGGTACTAGTAGTGGTATAATATACAAATGCAGAATATTTAAGTTTTCGTGAGCAGAAATCCTACTCCATGACAGCCAAGCCAGTAGCAGGTGTATCATTAAATGTAGCAATAACACTTTAATAACTGCCAAACAGAGCAACTGCAATAATGAGCCTATGTAAACAAAATAACTGCTGTGTTCTTACTGAGTTAGATAGAGTATTAGATGATATTAGCAGAGAATGAGATGTCAGATACAGAAATCTCATGAATTGCGTTGTAATCTATGCCAACTGAAAAATCAGTATCTTCAAGATTCAGGATGAGAGGAAACTAGAAATGTGCTAAAATATTAAAATCAGAATTAGGAAGTACTACTGGCCTGCTTTGCACATATGTTTAAAATATTAGTTCAAAATTGTGCCTAGAATTTTGGGACATCAGTTTGCTTGGTTTCTCGGCACAGTAGGAATGTTAAATAGCAGCCTTAATTAAAATTCCAGGCAAATCCAAAATATTAGCAGCTTCACAAAAAACCTCTCAGAAAGTATGTATTTTCCTGCTGGAGGCTTTAGAAGTGGCTTGTCACTTGTAATTCGTAATGTGGGTGAAGATTTCCCCCACTTTTTGTTTTAACGTTGCTGTTTTTCCCTCCTGAATACTTGCTAATCCTGACTGTACCTCTTGAAAACACAGACAAAGAAATCATGATGCGGGTTTTGAGCTGCATGACCAGTTGCTAGCACTGTGCCCCTGTTTCTGGACCTCCCTGCTGCTCCTGAGCACAGGAGCCACGGCTGCCCATTGATCCCTCTCTGCTCTGTGTCACCCTGGCTCGGTCACTGCAGCAGGGGGAAGCTGGCTGCACAGCAAATGGGGTTAGTGGCAGCACTTTGTAGAGGTATTTTTGAAGGCAGGCTGCTTTTTGCCAGGAGGGGAGGGAGTGTTCTCTGGAGGCCGTGTAGCAGAAAAGAAGGGTAAGTACGAACATGGAGCCCATGGTGTGAGAAGCTGCTTATCAGACTCCTCCTGTTTTCCCAAACAAGCTCCTTTAAGCCACTGGGGACTATTTCAGTCTGAAAATGTTGGTATTTTAAAATAAACTATGGGATAATAAACTATGGACCTATAAGCTGTCTTTCCTATAGCACAAAATCCACAATAAAGAGCCTTTTAATTGCTTCTGTATAAATACACTGCAGCCATACTCGTTGCCTGTCCTGCACAAACAACAGGGGCCTGGGCTTTATGGCTTAGTAGCTGAAAGTTGGCAAAAGAAACCAATCTGTGCCCAGAGAGAATTCTCAACATTTTTATTTTTGCTTCTAAACTTGTTCCAGCACCTCCTCTCTGTCTCTCCCTCCCCTCTCAAAGAGAAAAGACGAAAAAGAACTTGGACAGAGCCAGTCAAAGTGCAGTAAATTGGAAGTCCTCATTATGCACATAGCTTTATCTTTGTAAAAATGTAGTATCAGAGTGAGTAATTAGGAGGTGTTGCCCTAGTTTCTAGGACACTAAAACCTTTTATTTAGGGCAATACACTAGTGCAGTCTTCTATAAATGCTCTATTTTTTCCTTATGCCAAGAGTGTGCCAAATACCTCATATTCCTGCCTTTTAAAGCAAGTAGAGCTGTTAAAGGATAAGGACTGCTGAAAGAAAAAGCACCAATATTTAACTTACGATGCATTGGGAAAAAAACCAGAAAGACTGATGTTAGCCTGAGTTATGTGAAATACAGTCAAAGAGTCTAAATAAAGTATGATCTCAGCCCTGGTTTCTCTTTATGTCTTGTGAAACCAGCTACTAAATTTAATTTTACAAGACAAAAAAATGTACCAAAAGCAGACTCATATAAAATTCTTCCATGTATGGAATTACAAATCTAGAATCTTCCAATTTTTTAATATCTTAATACACACATTTTAAAAATTCAGTAATCCTTAATATTGTTTTTAGAAGCACAAAAAGAATATTTCTCCATCTGTAAGCACTAGTGGTTTGCGGTTGAAAGCTGGTGATGTGAAAATTTTTTCAGTGTCCAGAGGCAGTAGTCATTTATAATCTCTACCAGGAACTGGGATCAACTCAGGTAATTAGCTGTACAATGATTCAAGATGGATTGCAATGATAAAACCCTATAGAGAAAAATATAGAGACACAGCTAAATTGGAGGCTAATGTCCAGTCAGTAGGTTTGCATCCTGGGGCTCAATAGAATGCTTCCAGTGTTCCCTGTTCTGATTCTTGTTGCCTTCACAGAAAGTAGGAATAAAAATAGAAACATAGTTTCACTTATTTTCTTGTAATCTTTGCTACTAAAATACATGAATAATTCTTTATATTGAGGAGACAAAAGGATAAAATACATTTTCAGGAGAGGATTTGAAGTCAAACTGGAGTATTAATGTTCTTAGTCAGCATTTGGAAATGGGAAAAGCCCATTTAGGAGCACTGGCAGGGTGGGAAAAACCATAAGAATGCACTCCAGATGTTCTATTCTTTGCAAATATACTGTATGGTAATGGAAAAGATACAAGTAGATAACAAAAGATTATTGTACTGCTGCAAAACTTAATGCCTCACATGTGCTCCGGCCTCAGTTTTCTGTAATTAGGAAATTTTTCAATGAGATATCACAAGTCCTCTAAATCACAAAAGACTCAATCATTCACAAAGAGCTTGTTACATATAATTGTTTTATACTGAGCAATTTGCCATCCCCACCCCCTTTGTGTTTTTTTCTTGTTTTGTTTTTCTTTTTAAGACTTTCTTTTGTTCATTGGCTTGTTCCTGTATTTTCTCAGGGTTATTCTTATCTCTTTTCCTCACTTAATGGACAGATAAAGAAAGAGTATTTTGTAGGAGCAGATGTTTTCAGCATTCTCTGATGCTTCTTACAATGCAGAGTACATTGAATTGGCAGCAAAAGTTGAACAGCAGATCTGTCACAGGTGTTCTGTCACAGGGAGACGGTAATGGTGAATTGCCATGAGCTCTGCAATCTCCTTTTAAGTTTCTGTCCTGAGTGTTTTGTTTCTTTGTAATTAACTTGTGAAGTTGGTGCAAATGTTCTGTAACTGGCTGCTTGTGTTTAGCTTTGGATAGTGTTTTTTCTTTTCCAATTGAATACTTGGTTGCGAAATTCTCACATGAGCTTTTGTATTTAATGTTAAAAGTTTACTTTTCATATATTTCTTTAATACCTGAATGTTAACCTCATTGTATTAATTAATTTTTTTTTTTTAAGTATACTTTAATTGTTTCATTAGCAATACAGGATGTATTACGTTTCTTGTTAAAAAGATTATACAGAAAGCAAAAACCAATATCTATGCCACTTGTGCCACATTAAGAATAAATAAATGGGAAATGTGGATAGTATAATTAGTAATTTTTACTTCTATATGCTTACATCCCTTTTCTACACCCCAAAGCAGAAGAAATTAGGGTCTCAGCTGCTCTGAAAATGCATCTTTCACAGTAAATCTGTAGCACTGTAGCAGCAAGAATTTAAAAAAATAAAAAAAAAAAAGAAAAAAGAAAAAGAACAGTCTATCAATAAGATAAAAAGAAAACAAAAGAAGGAATTGTTAAAACAGACAATGGACCTGGCAGTGACTGTACTGTCTGGCAGGTTGTATTTTTGGAAAAGCTTTCAGATTACTGCAGAAAAAAAGATATCGTGTAGAAAGATTTTTAATACTCCCACAGTTTGATTACAGTCAAGTGAAGACTTACATAATAGAGACTACAATAAAAGCTAACACCTTCCAAGGCAATAAAACTTATATGCTTAACTTCAAGCAGCTCTAAAGTTTTAAACAGGCTCATAAATATTTGCATGATTGGCCCTGGACTGATATTTTGTTAGACTTCTCAATGTGAGGCTGTAGATACAGTGAAGGAGTTGTGTTTGTAATGTTAGCTTTATCTTTAAATGGAACTTCATATTAGTATTTATGTAAATAT